TGAAATTCAGCTGTGGTCTACATAGAAACAAAGTTGTAGTAACACTATCACCAGGGGTGAAATTCAGCTGTGGTCTACATAGAAACAAGATCATAGTAACACTATCACCAGGGGTGAAATTCAGCTGTGGTCTACATAGAAACAAGATCATAGTAACATTATCACCAGGGATGAAATTCAGCTGTGGATTACCTAGAAACAAGGTCATAGTAACACTATCACCAGGGGTGAAATTCAGCTGTGGTCTACCTAGAAACAAGGTTGTAGTAACACTATCAACAGGGGTGAAATTCAGCTGTGGTCTACCTAAAAACAAGGTTGTAGTAACACTATCAGCAGGGATGAAATTCAGCTTAATCTACCTAGAAACAAGGTTGTAGTAACACTATCACCAGAGGTGAAATTCAGCTGTGGTCTTCCTAGAAACAAGGTTGTAGTAACACTATCACCAGGGATGAAATTCAGTTGTGGTCTACCTAGAAACACTATCACCAGAGGTGAAATTCACCTGTGGTCTACCTAGAAACAAGGTTGTAGTAACACTATCAACAGGGATGAAACTCTGCCGGTACTGAGAATTGGAACTTATTTTTTAAGGCAGTACTAGTACTGGGACTTGTTTGTGGTACTATTTTGGATGCACATACATTTCATTGTTCCGTTAGAACGGATTTATTTATTAACACTGAAATTGTCATTTTTTATATTTACACATAGATTTTTTTCTTTCACTTCACCCAGCTGAGTACTTCTACTTTTTTTTTGAGAATTTCACCCCTGACTATCACTAGATGTCAACAGAACTGCTGCCTTTCCAAGAAGTGGAAGAAAAATTACTAGACTGATAAACAAAATGAACAGAACAAGAAATGTCTAGCTTCTCAAAGTGGCATAATGAATATAGATTTCGCAAAAACTTACTTAAAAAAATCAACCTAAGCCTCATTCTACACCTAATACAGTTGCAATCCTTGAATCCCATATGCTAATGGAGCTCCTCAAATCCAAGGATTTACAGAAAAGCATCTCAGAATTTTAGAGATTATATCAACCCTCTCTGGATTGGAGAGGTGTCACTGATACCCTTGTATTGTTTCTTCTCACAGTGGCAAGACTTAACCAAATTGATTAAGCTATGTTAAACCAATGTGTTTTCTTTATTAAACTTCATTAAAAGCTAATAGAAAGTTGCCTGTAGTCAAGTTTAATTTCTTAGGCTCTGTATACTGAACAATCCTTCTTGCCGAATGATGGTGACGTAGACAAATGCACACATGAAAGAGATATGATTCAAGATAACAGTTTTAATAACAAAGCTCCTTGTGCAAAAGTTTATTTAAAGTTTACCAATCTCTTGCATTTGTTTTACTTTTTAATCATTTAAGCTCGATAAGGAATGGTTAGATTTATCAGTGAATAAGAGAAAATAGACTATTTAGAATCTTGGGGTTTGAGCTACTAAAATCACAAAATCCTGGGATTCAGAAAAAATTTTAGGATTGCAACCCCTAACATCTAATAAGCTAAAACTGACATCACAAAAATTAAAGAAACAAAGTAGAGTACAGCAGCCGACTCTAATCAATACAAACAGATCCAAGATGAAGAATTCTAAAAAAAAATGTGGCTAAAACTTCCAATAACTAAAAATAAGAATTTGTAACTGCACGTACAAACAAGAAATATAATGTCCTAAAAGAAGCAGTGCGTTAAAGGCAAACAAATGATCCAGATAACACAGATTTTTGGAGAAGACTAAGAGATAGCCGAGTTTTTAAATGTTTTCTTCTCACTTTCATAAGAGACAAGCAATATACCCGACCCTGAACATTCTATGGGAAATATTAATCACCTAGTGGTAAGTAGAAAGACAGAGAGATTACAAATAGATAAAGTACAAAGGACAGACATAGTGTTCTCCAGGGTTTTAGTAGCTGGCAGGTTGGAAAGTTGCTTATGTTATTCCTATCTTTAACAGTTACACTGGAAAATATATGCCAGTTGGTCTTACTTCTGTGTAGTTGGAAAAGTTTTAATCTTATAAAATATGTCTTTTAGTGAAATGTAATGTTATAAATGATTCACCAAATGTAAATTTTATTTATTAATCTCTTACTTTTTTCTAATAGATGTTACTTATTTTCTGGGTGATGGAACTTGGTGTACTTAAGATTTTCAAAAAGCTTTTGATAAAGTGCCACATAAAAGATGAGCTATGAAAATCACATCAGTGAATTATTGGGCAAGGTGGATGGGAGAAAACAAAAAGTTGTTATTAATGAAGTAGAGTCAAACTGAATCCTTGTGGAATCCCTCAGGATTCAATGCTTGGTCCTTTGCTCTTTCTTATTTACATTAATGATATTGATAAGGACATAACTGAATTGGTAAAGTTTGCAGATAACATTAAACTCTTAGCTATTTCTAGCTGTATAGAAGATATTCATGTATTACAGAATGATGTAAATCAATTGCAAGAGACATTTCATTACAGTAAGTGTAGTTAATACACTTGGGTTATCATAATATGGACCACACATTTAATACAGATGGGAACCAACCCAATAGCAACAAAGAAAAAGATCTTGTCATAGTGGTGGATATGTCGCAAGCCATTCAAGTTGAAAAGCCAATACAATTTTAAGATGTATTTGTAGACAAACTGATTACAAATCAAAAAAGGCAGTTACCTCTTTACAAGTTACTAGTTAGGACTCTCTGTGTACAGTTTAAGTATTTATATAAAAAGGTATACTGGCTTATTGGAAAGGGTTTGCAGGAGAGCTACTAAGATGATTCCAGGATATCTTAAATGGATAGGTAAGGATATTTTTTTTACTCTCTTGAGAAAAGGAGGGTAAGATATGATCTTATTAAAGTTTACAGAGGATCACTACACTAAAGGCCTCTGATTTCTTTGTGCTATATTCTGAAGATAAAAGGATGAGATGACACAAGTTTAAGGTTTGGAGAAGATAGACTAGAGACAGTGTTATTTTTCTAACAGTGTTCTTAACTTAAAGAATGAGTTGCCATCAGCAACAGTGGAAGCCAGCACTTTACAGGAGTTTGATATGAATCGATTTCCTGCAAAATAAATGATGGGTGTGTAAGAACAGTCTGGAAGGACCAAATGGTTTCTTGTTATCTATAGATTATGTAAAAAAAAAGAATACGTATATGTGTGTGTGTGTGTGTGTATATCAATTGCAGAAACGTAGTTACATCTGAACAACAACTTGAATTGGAAACTCTTAAAACACTTGTATGATAGAGTAGGTAAAATTACCTTATAAATGCTAAACCTACTTTGAACTTTGTCAGTTCTTATCAATACACTCTACATGTATATTCCACTACCATTTACAGTGCCCAATATATGCAAAGTATTATATACAATATTTTAATGCAAAGAAAGCAATCACTAGATTCTATAATTTTAAATTATATTTACTGAATGTACAAAATAAACAAAATGTAATGCTAATTTGTTGAAGATTGTTACAAGTTCTTGTTTGTACCTGTAGAATTCTCAACTTGATGACACAAGTAGAAACAATCAGATTGACGGCCAGGCCAACTCTGACATTATTCAACCAATCCTTCTCAAAAAACAAAAAGGTGAAAAACTTTAGCTTTTGTATTTAATTCAAAATTATGCATTAAATCAAAAGATGGAAAAACACAGAAAGGATGATTTGATTGTGAACATTACTTGAGTTTACTTAGCTAATATTACTTTCTTTTACACATTATCAGTCTTTTTTTTTGGAATAGTATCAGTTTTATTACCCAATCAAGAAAGTCATTAAAACATTGAATTTCAACTTTCTGTTTCTATTTTTTTTTCAAATAAACAATTATTGAGTCATATTTGCTTTAAATAACACACACATCATTATTCCCTCAAGAAGAAGCAATTATATTCATTGAAACCTAAGAAACAAGAGTTTTATTAGCTACAAATTGGTTAACTGTACCTGTTCCTCATAAAATAATTTTTGATTTTCTGGAGAAACTTTTGTAATTCCCTCTATCATTCTCTTCATCTCCAGTACAGGAGTTGTCTCCTTAGCATCTAAAAAAATTGTAGTTTTCCTTCTCCTGACCATCAAAAATACATCCTACAATTTTCAGAAATCAAAATGTTACATTCCAAAAGTTACAGAAATCAAAATAGTATACCCTAAAATTTCAAAAATTGAAATGTTGCTTAGAATATGAACTTCATATAGTAATAATAATAACAATATATATCTATTTATTGGATGGTGGTAAGTCAAACCACATCAACACAATGTAGTATGAAGTTTCACACACATGGTTAAAAAGCCTTGTGGGTAAAGAGAGACAGGGACTGCTTGTACTCTTGGTTAAGTTAGATGGATGTAGCATTAGCCCTGTTAGCCAAAAGTCCTGGGTTTGATCTCCAGTCCTGGTTTCTTTCAGTTATCAGCTTTTCGCTTACAATAACAGTTCTTAAATCTTGTTCTGTACTATATATGGCTAGGTCCTCAAAAACAGCCTTTACTAACTCAATAATTACAATAATGAGTAATTCTGGAAACTTTTTATCAGTCAGTCAGTCATGCTCGATTTCTCTGAATTTCATGAGTTACACGAGTCTAATTCACTTTTTTTCTCCTATAATACTTCCTCTTTTGACTGCCCGTTCCCATTTTAGTTGAATTTAATCGCTAACATAGACATAAATAGCTCCTAAGTTTCAGCCCTTTTTTGATATATAAAAGCCTGTCAAAGATGGAGTTCTCAGGATCAGATCAGGCACGGTTTTATGTGTGTGATACCACATCATTATGATGTCAAGAGAGGTAGAATCCAAATGGGAAAGTCCGGAAAACTCCTGTGAAAAATAAGTCAAAATGAGAACAAATCGATGCTTGGGAATTATTATGAAAAAGTCTTTGTTAAAACAGACTGAAGATACCAGTTATCTGTAGGGAAGAGGACAACTTTTCCTCAGAAGAAGAACAGGTGTGTATGCAATCACATGGTCATCGTATGTTTTAATTTTTTCTCCAAAGGCACCAGTATGTAGCATGTTTGCTCAGTTATATGTAGTGGATTCAGTAGTAATATGTAGCACGTTCCTGGGAAAGGAAATTTTATATTTTTATTTCTTTTGTGTATGGCCAGTTTTATATGGAATAGTTTTGGTTTCCCATCATTTTTGATGGGCTTTTACACAAGTTAACACATAAAGAAGAATAACAAATGATTCATAAATACAGAACAAGTGACATTCACGTGCTGAGTAGCAAATCCAATCAAACACTGATAAATTAAAACCTACATGGTGATATCTGCAGAACCAATAATAATAAAAAACTATTAACCCCAACGTCTGTCTTAACTTAGTAGTTAAGTTTATCTACCACATCTTGGCACACATCCATATCACTAGCCAATCAACAATAAACACCTTGTACAACCTATACTGTGATTGGTAAGTTATAATACAAACTGCAGTTTAAACTTAGACAAGATGATTACATAAAGGGTAAGTAGGAACTTGTCAGTTATTATTAATACAAGTTGTGTGTATAATGTTACATGTATATAATGATTACGTACCAACTGACACTTCTATCGAAGAAAACAATGATAACGTATTTCCTTCCCCACAAATATAATATGGGAAGAAATAATAACAAGCTCTTATTCCCCAATTATCTCAGTGAATCAATGTAATCAATTACCAATTAGCATAAACTAGTATTGTGACAATAATCAAAATTATGATGAATCATTAATGTCATGTAGATAATCATGTAATTGAAATCAGTATTACCAATAATTACCATTTTCAGTTATTCCAACTACCCAGGTCTCATGAGAATAACTAATTAGCTGACTATAATCAATTAATTATTTGATTAGAACATCAATATATATATATATATATCTCCCACATACATGTACGAGACACTTCAGGCTAGATTTTCACCAAGCCATGTTTTTCCTCTAATTAAGGTAAACTATTCTAGCTACAGTGAACAAGCGACATGTAACACTTGCTAGAAATATATCATTATTTTAACTAAGTTTACATATTAAGCTCTTTCACACCATGATTAAAAATAAATAAATACAGATAATAATCTGACAATTCTACTATTTTAGTTTGTAATTAGTAATTTTTATGAATACTAAACGTATTGGAAATGTTTGTCAATTAGTATTTTCATATACAAAATGTTGATGTCTCTCTTACACTTACATTTGTCATCTACACTGACACTGAACAAGAAGGCCAGAGTATAAGTGAGCACAGACAAAGAGTTTTTCTCATTTAGTTAAAGAAAGGGATTAAAAGTTTTTATATTATGATATTTACACTGTGAAAAAACTAAATAATACATTTTCTAATCTCCAAGTATTCGTGCCTTAGAGTTCATGCCCAATGTCAGTACCAATGACATGATTGTAAAAAGGTACTGTGAATGACTGTTACACTAGATGTAGAAATAACGGCACATAATCATCCAACTAAAAGACAATATACCTATCACTACTACTCTTATAAGTTATACCTGCAACACTAATATAAGACTAAGTGTAATACTATACAAACATCAATGATAATTCCATATTTCTTTAATTTTAACACATAATAAAGCTTTCGATTTCTCTTCTACTTTAGTCTTAAACTTGAATCAAGTCTTAGCTTATTATAAATTTATCGTTTTAACATACCCTAATAACAATATTACAGCCATTGGTGACTGTCAATTCGTTACAAATAACCAAAAAAATTGAAAAATGGTAAAATAGCCCCTTCTTTCCTTTGGCTTAAATTTTGTTAAGGCTTTTGATTAACTCTGATATCAGTGTTGCTAAAATTTACCTTAATATTACAAGACCATAAGAAGGAAAACTACAAAGAACTGTGTTAGTGTTAACATAAAAGAAAGACGGAAATATCGATATTATTATTGTCATACATCTCAAGTTCATACCACTACCAGTTAGGCTTATCTTTATTTACATTAATTAAGCCAATCACTGACCATTTTTATTCAAATTTCAATAGTATAATACTGACTGTCTCAAACTGATGATTCTTAATTTATACGATAAAAAAAAAAGAAAATCCACCACGTTAAAATGAAAACCTTGTTAAACAAAATTACGCTTTAAATTAAATCATGTCTAATTCTAACTCTAGGTTTAAAACGTTCTCGCTTTCGACAGTATCCCTGCCATGCGCGAGCGCAAGTTTGGTGATCTGGGTCGCGTTTAAAGAGTCTGTGAAACGTCCATATTCAGAGTCACAGCCCCTTATACTTGTATACAACGTCGATAAAAGTAGTAACTGAAACAACGAACAAGCCCGAAGAATTAAATGATGGCGCTATAAAGCAAATATATATATATACACACATGTATCGAGAGAGAGAGAGATACACATATACATGCACAAAACAAGCACATATTTATATTTACATAAATATAGTGAGAGAGGAGATTATGTTAAAACATTGGATTCCAATAACAAGATATGTGGTAACTGTAAATACAACATTATCGCCATATCTCTAAATACACTCAGTTTCGCGACCGTCATTTTGGTCTTAATAGACCATGGAGGGTCAGGTACAAAAGACCTATTTCTCCTTTCCGAAGTATGGTTTGATACTGTTGAATGTTTATGTTGATACGACATGAGGGTCGGAGTAAACCGCACTTGCTCCGACCCCTTTCAGGGCAATGTCCATGTAGGTATCTTCATTTACATTCGTGTGTTGTGCATAACATTACTTAATTCGGTGTTGTAAAGCCTTACACTTAGCGAACAGTTTCATTATATGCAGACAACACACTTCACTCGTTTGAAACTAATATAATACATTTTACATATAATATCCTTTTTAAATGTATTTGTTTTAATTCAAACTAGTGTAAGGTTTAAAGTCTAGTAATAGGTGGCCTTATTAAATCCCTATTTCTAAAATATATGTTTACAGGTGAGAGGTACTCTAAATACTCTGGTATGCTAAATACAGAATTTTGAATTGTCGCTCGAAATGCAGTCCAAGAGAAAATTTCCAGTTTAAAAGATCCTAAGAATAGAGTATATAAAAAACATGCTCAACATAGATAATAAATATTTTATTAAACAAATGAATAAAACGTAAAAGCTTATTGCCCAAAATAGTGTTAAAGATGCAGGGGAAACATCTTTTTAACTTCCTTGAAAATTGATTAAGTTTGTTTGAATTTCGCGCAAAGCTACATGAGGGCTATGTGCTCTAGCTGTCCCTAATTTAAAACTGAAAGTCTATAGAAAAGCAGCTAGTCGCGGATGAAAGGGCGAGCATAATTGGTAGGATGGGGATTTTGTACCTGCAACTCTCAGATTGCGAGTCAGGCGCCCTAACCGCCTGGCCATGGATTAAATATTACGAATCTAACTAAAAGATTATACAAGTTTAGTATATATATTAGAAGTTAATGGGTCTTTTATAAAATTAACAGTAATCAATGAAATAGGATCGGCCTTTAAATTGCTGTTAATTAACGAGTCTTCTTTAGTTATAAAGTGAACAGCATAAAGTCATGTGTAAAGTGATGAATATTTTATAACTTTGCTGAAACCCATAAACAATATTCAGGCTTACATAACGACAACTGAACGTTAAAAAGTAACTGTATACGCCCCAAAGTTTTGCCTGTGGTATTTACCAACAGTCGGTGTGTACTTTCGAAGTGGTTTGATTATAACATGCTTCATTAGCTGATAACATGATAAAACACTGATATATTTGACATTATTATTAAGATGAAAAATTGCAAAGGATTGGTATTTAGAAATAACAGTAATAAGTGTCAGCAAGAAATATGGTGTTATAAGCTGTATTTTCAACGTTTCAATTAATTAGAAAAAAATGACTTTTACTCTTCAGATAATAATAATAAAATAAACACTTTATTTCAGCCAACGTCTCGCCCTTACGCCTTCATTAGAGCTAGTAGCAGAGGCGTCACTTGGTACTGGCACGCGGGATCAGTGCCCTGAATCCCCAGTTGGTGTCTTAAAAAATCAGAATAGAAAACCGTGATCGAATCATACTGAAACGCCGAAAATTCCCGCGCCTATGGACCCGAGCCCCAAATCTTTTAAACACCTAGTGATGCCTCTGGCTAGTAGTACAAAAAACAGATGGCCAGAAAGATATGCTTTTCATGAACCAGAAAGTAGAAAGTCTAGCAAGGAAACTCGTCAATGGATTTCTCTGGAGATTTGGAGTGCCTATAGAACTTCACTCAGATCAGTGAATCAGCCTTGGTTACAGAAATGTGTCAGATCCTTTCAATAAAAACAGGGCATCAGCATTCAGTCGAAATGGTGAAGAATACAACCACACATTGTTAAGTCATTTATGTAGATGAGTATCATAAACGTGGAATAATGATCTTCAACTGTTAACAACAAACAACAGTACATGAAGCTATAGGCAACACATCATCATCATCACTGATATGGAGAAGAGAGTGCCAATGGATTTTCTGTATTTGCATCCAGCGGTCACTCAGCAGAGTTAGACAGAATATGCAGAGCGATTAAGGATCGTCATCAATGAATTTACCCAGGGAAGACTTAAATCAGAGTTAAAAGCTGCTATGATGTTAATGCTGATAAGACTGGATTTCATTGAGGTGACATGGTATGACTGTACAATCTCGTTCTCAAGAAAGTATAAATCCCAAAGTAACACAGGTGTTGAAAAGGGCCATATTTTACTAAAAAGAATCAGTGATATAGTTTATAGAATTCAGATAGACAGGCAGTCCAAACCAAAGATCATCCGCCATGACCATCTTTTTAATTACATCAGTGAGAGAATAGTCAACTGGATAATTCCAGAGAAGAATTTACCAGCGGAAAGTCAGTCTCTTTAAAAGCTGAGTGTTTTTGTCGAGACTACTTCCAGAGGATCATCAAGGATGGAGCTGCTAGTGGATTGACTCGACCGCCTACCTTGGAAAAAGTCCCCCAGTGACAGGACAGGCAGTGACGATAAGAAAAGAGGCCATATTATCTGCATATTATGGTCCTTGGAAATTAGATAAATAGGCAGTTTAGCGTGCTGTCTTGTTTGTGTATTAGGAGTATTCAAGAGACTTAAGAATTCAGGAAAGGACAGTTTTATAAGTTATATTTTCAATATTTTAATTTAGTTGTTTTCCAGATAAAGCTGCTAACATGTCGATGAGGCTAAATTTAGTAAGTGTATAAAAAGTGTCCCAGAAAACCTAGAATGCTTGTGAATGTTGATGGTCAAGAGACTTTGCAAAATATCTGAGTTACCTTATAAATACAAGAATCAGTAAACTATTGAGTCAATTTTCAATTAGTAGAGTACCAGTCAAAGTTAAATATTTAGATCATTGTTGGTTACTGCATTTATTCAGTTTCTTTATCGATTAGCTGTGAAATTGTGTAAGTTTATTAGTAGTTAGTCGTAGTACCACTAGTGAGTGAATTGCTCTTGAAAGTGGAAACGTTGTTTGTGAAACAGGACTTAAAACTGTGTACAAGCGATAGTAGGTTGTAGCAACCGTTAAGGAAGAAATCAAACAAAATGTTATCGTTAAAATAACCCACACAAAGAAAGGACACTGTTGCGTCAGCGCGGTCACGTGACTAGTATCACGCCACGTCCTTCTCGAACCTTCATGAATTATCGGG